CCTCCTCCTCCTCATCCTCCTCCTCCTCCCCCTCCTCCTCCCCCCCCTCCTCCTCCTCCTCCGGCACGCGCACGAGGGGCGGGCTGGCTCCCCGCGACGGGACGGCTGCCCCGCTACCGGGGCGGCGTGGAGCACGGCGGCCGCGGCCGCGGCCGCGGCCAGCCACGGCCGGCACCCCGCCGCGCAGCACCCCATTGCCTGAGGAGGGGGAGGAGGAAGAGGAGGAGGAGGAGGAGGAGGAGGAGGAGGAGGAGGAGGGGAGGAGGGGGGCAAGCAAGGTCGTGGGGCGCGCGCGCCGACAGCGGCCCGCGGGGGGGGTTGCCTGCTGGCGGGCGCAGCCCGGCGGTGCGCGGGAGCTCGGCAGCACCGGCAAGCGGGGGGGCGAGGCTGACGCATGACCCCCACGAGAACGCCAGGATGCCCTCCCAAGGCGCCCCAAGCAGCCCCCAGAGGCCACAGTAGGCTCCCATGACGCCCGCAGAGGCACCAGAAATGCCTCCAACAGCTTGCGAAAAGCCCCCAGGGGGCGAGGCGGGGGGCCAGGGCAGCACGCGGGGAAGACGGGGGAAGGAGGCAAGCAGGGGTAGGGGAGGAAGGGGTGGGGAAGGCAGAGGGGGGGAAGACAAGCTAGGTGCGCTCGCGTCATATCTGACATCCTAACCCCTCCCTCCCATCCCTTACCATGGCGTAGATCCCCTCTCTACTCGCACAGTCGGATGTCGAGCAGGGCAATGATCGCGAAAGGGTACGCGATGCATTGTAGAGCACGGCATGGCATGGCGTAGAAGAGCACCGCGAAGCGTAGTATCAACCTAGCATTGCATTGCATGCCGTGGCATGGCACGGGAAATGACGCCAGCGCTGTAGCGGGAACACGAATCGAAACGAGCGGAAGCGCGGAAACGAAGCCAGCACTGCCGCGGGAGCACGATTCGGAACGAGCGGAAGCGCGGAAATGAGGCCAGCGCTGCAGCGGGAGCACGATTCGGAACGAGCGGGGCCCGAAAATGAGGCCAGCGCCTCAGCGAGAGCAGCATTTCGAAAAAAATGCAAGCGAAAACCCAACTCCCGGGAATCTTGTGTGTAAAAGCACAGTACGCGGGGGGGGGGTCGAACACTCCCAGCACGTCATCAGGGGAAGAGGGAGAGTAGTCTTCATATTGAATAATTGTGGAGGGCGAGGAGGAGAGCGAGGGGGAAGAGGAGGGCGAGGAGGAGAGGGGAAAGCAGGAGCGGGAGCGAAGGAGGATAAAAACAAGAGGAGGAAAGAGGATCGCGGATCCAGGCGACTAAATGTTCCAGCTGTCTGCACGTTCCCAAAATAGTTTGACATGTCAATAAGTTTTTCTAGATTTCAACGGACCTCCAACTCCCTGCAAACCTCCAATGGTTTCCAAGGATGATAAGGAGGAGTAGTAGGAGCAAAGGCAAAACGCCACTGCAAAAATGCGACGGCCAGTTGTTTCAGCGTTTCAGCTTGTCGGCCTCTGGAAACATGGTTCGATCATCAGATACATCGGCTAACGCTAAGGCAACGAGAACACGGGCGACCGCGGCTTGAAACAAACATGTCGCAAGCAGGGGGGGTCAACGAACACGACGACGACGACGACGACGACGACGACGACGACGACGACGACGACAACAACGACGACGACGGCGACGACGGAGACAACGACGTTTGGGACCGTCGTTAGGCCGCCCAGGCGGCCTTCGTCGCCACCGGTGGATCCGCCTCGAGATGCCGGTTGGAAGGAGCAGCGGGAAAAGTCAAGAAATGGTTTTGAACAGAATCGGCGGCGCGCAATAAGGTGGCAAGAACATGGGAGCTGCCCTCTGCGAAGGAAGTCTTGATAGAAAGCGCGGAGCGCCAGTTGTTCACACGGCCAGCCCCTTCTTGAAACTCCACCCCCGCCCCCCCTGTTCTCCGCGCCCGCCGACGCCAAGCAGAGCTTGGGAGCCGATGGCAAGCGAGCAAAAGGATACATATGGCCCCAAAGGCAATAATAGCTCGACCACAAGAAATCCCCCACACCTGGAAAGCAAAAAAATGAGACCCCAGAACGCCCATCGATTCCTGGCACGGGAACATCACGCACCCCATAGCGAAAAAACATCGAAACCCAAAACACTCACTGCAGGCAAGCACGGCGTTTTTGGCTTGGGCCTCCACTGCATTGCTGGGCCAAAACCGCGGCCCGTTCAAGTCTGCCCGCGGGCCAGGCAACGCCAACGGCCCGCGCGGCGGCGAGAGATCCTGCTGCCCGCTTAACGCCCAGATCATGACCCAATGCGAAAGCCGACCGCATCGTTGCTCAGGGCCTCCTCCGGGGCGGCCCCTGGGCACAGACGCGAAGCTCGCAGCCGCCGCAAGGCAGTCGCGGAGAAGCTCCGCGCGCGGACGCGCGAAGCACGCCCTCGACGAAAGGCGCCGAGAATCGCGGTGAACCTCAGAGCTGCCCACCTCGCAACCCCCCACCATCTGCCGCTGCACGTCAGACTCGCGCCCCCCCCCCCCCAATACAAAACGCGCCGCCCCCGCGAGAGAGAACGCGACAGAGTCGCAGGCGCCCGAGCGACGCGACTTGGCTGACTGGCCCCTGTTAAGCGGACACCACGACCCAGGCCGCGCGACCCCCAGCGCCCCCGCCGGCATCGCCCCCCCTGACCAGAGCGCCCGCGCCGACGCGCGACAACGCGACGTCTATTTCAAAGCGAGTCGCCCCGGCCCTGCCCGGAATTGCCTCGAGGCTGTTGCCGCTGGCCATTTGGCGAGCTCCGCCCGCGCATCTCGACCGCCCCCATCCCCCCCCGGCGGGAAACGCGGCCGGCGCGAGCCTCGCCGATCCCCAGAAGGCCCCGGCCTCAGCTTGGACCCCGCGGCGTCGGCAGGACAACCCTGGCGAGCATGGCCGCCCTGCCCCACGCCGCTGAGCGCGCGGCAAAACAACGGACCCGCCGCCCCACCGCGCGGCGGCGCGCCGCTCGGTCTCGTCGCGCAGCAGGCTTATAAAAGCCTCGGGCGCTTCTTGGATTCAGAGCAGCGGTCGGGTCGCAGCGCGTTCCCCAGCGACGCGCCCCTGGGCCATTCATCGCGGCCGCCCTCCTCGCCTTTTTAACGCTTTCCTATGGATCGTGCAAAAAGTTGTTTGGTTTGAGCTTCGGTAGCAACTCTTGCGTTTAGATACTTCAGAGTGGCGCTCCTGATGATTTCCTGTCGATAGGCGTGCATCCCAGCGCCATAGCTCGCCTGAAACTCGAATCGACCAGAGAAACCAACCTTGATCTCTCAAGATTCACAGAGTGGGAATATAATTTTCAGTCGTAGTTCTGGTAGCAGAGAGATCTCAGACGTCTCGATACCGTTGGCGACTGTTCCTGGTAATTCCCTGTTGAACGGTGTGCTTCCCAGCTCCGTAGCTTGCCTAGAACTCGAATTAACATGAGAAACCCAACATTGCCGCTCAAAAATCTGCAGAGTGCAAAATGAGTTCTGGGTCGCAGCTCTGGTAGCAGACTATTTTCAGGCGTGTGGATACTTGAGACGAGCGCTCCTGATAATTTCATGTTGATTTGGTGTGCCTGTCAGCTCTGCAGCTTATCTACAGCTCGAGTTAAGTTAAGAAAACCGACAGCCCCTGCCAATATGACACTTAATACCCGATCCCGCCCGTGTGCTTTTGAAACTAATGTCCACCCGATCGACCTGATATCAAGAAGGCGAGCAGGAATCAGATCAAAGATCACGGGAAAAAATATTAGAGCTCCAACGAATTGGTGAATTTCGAGAACATGATTTTCAACCGACCCAAAGTAGGCAAAATGTCCGTCGAGATTTTCCGAGCCAACTAGCCCGCCAGCGTTTTCGAATTCTTCCTACTGGAATAGGGCGGTAAACCATCAATCTTTCTTACCGCCGGGAACTCGAAGAGCTTCCTGCCCATATGTATGAAAGGCATGCGAGCGCCCCAATATCGCATTCAGCGCGCGCGAGGGCGTGCGGTTTACTAGAGATGTGCTTAGCACGGCGACAGCTCGAACCTTAAGAAGCTCTCGTCACGTGAAGAGAATGCCAATCTCACGACGAATGATGCTCGACAGCTTGGTAGCTGTTTGCAAAAGACACCTGGTTTTCCGGTCGCAGCTCTCATAGGAGACCGGCCCAGGCCTCTCGAAACTCCAGCAAGCGCTCGCAATCTTTTCCATTCGAACAGTGTGCTTCCTAGCTCCGTATCTTGCCTTCAGCTCGAACTAACTAGAGAAAAACCAACAACGCCTTTTCCAAATTTGAAGAATGCAAATAGTTTTCTGGTCACAGCTCTGGTAGCAGACCGATCTCAGGCGTCTGGATACGTTGGACTAGCGCGCCTGATCATGTCCTGCCGATTGGAGTGCACCTCGGCCCCGTGGCTCGCCTGCAGCTCGACTTAAGTAGAGAAACAAAGTTCATCTCTCACAGAAAGTCGCAGGCTGCCAATAGTTTTTCAGTTGCAACTCCGGTAGCAACCCGATCTCATGTGTCTCGATACCGTAGGCGACTGTTCCCGATCATTCTCTACTGAACGGTGAGCTTCCCAGCTTCGTAGCTTGCCTATAGCTTAAATTGAATCGAGAAACCCAACATCGCCTCTCAAAAAATTGCAGAGTGCCAATAGTTTCGGGGTCTCTGTTCTGGTAGCAGACCGATATCAGGCGTCGAGATAGCGAAGACGAGCGCTCCTGATCATTGCATGTTGATTTTCATGTTGATTTTAAGTGGCTCGCAGTTAAGCTAAGTTAAGAATTAAGTTAAGAAAACCGACAGCAGCTGTCAAAATGACACTCGTCACCCAGTCCCGCCTATTGCTTTTTGAAAAAAGAATCCATCCGATCGACCTAAGATCAAGATAGCGGGCGGGAACAAGATCAAACATGGGGTGGGAAACAAATATTAACGCTCTAACGAAGCGTTAAATTCCAAGAAGCTTCTTTTTAGCAAACCAAGAGTCGTCCGATTTCTCGAGCCAACGAGCCTGCCAGCGTTTTCGAATTACTGGAAGCCGGCGGTAAGCCGTCAACCTTGGCTACCGCCGGGGACTCGTAGAGCTTCCTTGCCATACATATACATATGTGTTTATATGAATATCTATATATATATATATACACACACATACACATATACATATGTATGTATATATATATATACCTATCTGAGCATGCGAGCGCGGCAATCTCGTAGTCAGCGCGCGAGGGT